AATGGCAGTAATAACAATAGCAATGATAGCAATCTCGCACTTATGCAAAATATCATACAAACAAAGTAGTCAGCACAATAAATTTCACTTTTTCAGAATTACTTTTTGTTTGCTTTGCTTCTTTTCTTAATTTGTTCAGAAAGGAAACTAAAAGTATACGTGTTTATTTTCAAAGCATACACGCAAATACACTTTGATTGTACTAAGCGTTGAATTTGGTATTGCTTATAATCACGCAAAAGTCAACAAGCAATAGTTTCTCTCGTCGTACTTTATTTAGTTTTTGCTGTTTTTTGGCGTAGTTTTCTAAACTTTTGCATGAAAGTTGTAATCACTCGTATTTAGCTTTTTCTGAACATTTTTTCCAATTTTTTGATTGATTGATTTGCTATGTAACTGTACAAATTTTTATACGTGTACTATATTTTTGGCATGAAATGAATTCATAGTTTAAAGAATTATATTGCAATTAAAACTTGAATTTTATCTTTTTATTGTGCGTTTTTTTAGTTTTTCTTTTAATTGAATCCATTTCATATTTATGAACCATAATCGTACACAATGGTCGCTTTAAAAAACACTATGTATATGGTAATGATTGGCACCTTTATTTTTTAAGAATCCACGTATTATTGGGAGTAGTTTGCAACTAATATTTGTCACTGATAATTTTCGTCTGAATATGATTAACAAATGATGGAGTAGTTCGTGAAAATTGACTAGCACATTATACTTGTTATCCAATGAATGCAAAAGGAAGATTAAATACTCTTTTGAATAACTAATTTTACTTTTAAAGACTGCATATATTATCATGAATTTGTTATCAGTATTGCAAATAATTACTGATAAGATCAATTAAGAAGATCAATTTCACATATTATCATGGTACGCTTCCTATTATCTCATGAATATCATTAATGTTTCATAGTATCATAATTTGCTCGAAAGTCTATTTCGTATTCACTGATACCATTAAATTTTCAGCTCTGTACTTTTTTTATTTCAATGCTTTTTGCTCTAATAGTTTTATCGATAAAGTTATTTTTAGCAGACTAATTTTGAGCTTTTACAAGTGAACTCTGAAGAATTCAAATTCTAACGGCTAGTCTGAGTAACAAGCGTTCTCTGATAAATACTTCATCATGAATTTATTAAGGGCTATGTTCTTGTCACTTGAACAATGCAATCTTATTTATTTGATGTATTTTTGATTGTCCATCAGAAATCTGTGAATTCAATGATCTCATAAACTTGTTCACTTCACTTCCGTGATAATAAGTCTCTTCTGTTTCTCAGATTTTCAAAGTAGGGATTGTATTGAATTTCCTGTAATTTATTATGAGATTTATGATATGTGAAAGTACGAATGTATGCATACAAAAAGTATTATAAAGTAATCAGCAAGATGAAAGTTTTTGCGTGAGCATTGAATTGGTTTCTCTAAAATCATTACAATAGTTGTTCAGTCATCTTTAACCAGTTTCATCGAAGTATTCAAAAATACTTTTGTCGGTTCACAAATTTTGTATTCATTTTTCATATTTCAGTCAATGTGATCAAAAAAAACCGAAATCGAAAGAAAGTAAACTAACCTTTCGTTCTGCGTTGGGTGCAATGGCAAATATTAATTGCATACGTAAATTTAATTTATTCTATAAATGTAAAATTTTTTAGACTGTTCCATTCTACGATATTAGTACTTTCTTGTGTTTATTGCAAAAAAAAATTTAAGTTTTGATTTGAATCTTTTTAACGACTATTTTAAATGTAAACTATTGCGTAAATTATGATTTTTCCGTGTCTTTAATCTCTTTGCTACTGTTGGATTTTAACAAGTAATGCTATTTTCATATTTATTTATTAATTGACTGAAAACTTATTTAAATCGGGAATTTTGTTTTCCGCGAAATGATAAAAATTACAAATTTTATGAACAATTTTTTTCAAATTTGTCAAGTTTATTAACAATATATTAGTGTGATTGTTTTTGCAAAAATATTTGATTAAAAATTTTGTGAAAAAAAATAATTATCGCAAATTGATAAGAGTTTACAAATTAACTCATCAAAGGAATGATTTATTGACTGACTCGAAATAATTTTTAACAATGTAAAGTTTATCTAAAAATGTGATGGATTAAGTTTTTTTTGGCATCAATCATTAAAATAGAAAAGTGAATAATAATTTATTTTTGCAAGATATTTTACATTCGTTAAATACTTGTTTTCGGCTAGAAAATTTTGTCACTGAATACTTTTTTAAATTTCTTTTTCTTCATTTACTTTTTCAGTACAAGTAGTTACTGAGTTAGATAGTCAATGTGCAGCAGCAAATTCAGCATATTTGAGTTATTTTGGATTTAATTTTTGAAATATCAAAGTAAAATATTACCATAAAGAAGGCTTAAAATCAAAATCACAAAACAATATTTTAAAGAAGGCTTAACACTTATAAATAATATAATGTGTGGATAGACTTTGTTGCCAACAATTTATTGTCCAATTTCAATAGCTAATTAAGTGATAGTACAGTAGTAGACAACTTACTTCAATACAATTCTATGATTTTCACACAAAAAGACATCAATAATATTCGAGCGAAAAATAGCTGGTGTGAAAAAAAGAAATTTAAATTATTTTTTGAGAAATGCTCAAGTAATTTTTTAAATTTATGCATGAAAATTTGAAGTGTTGTAAAATATTTTTGTTAAATTTTGTGGCCAAAAAACTGTAAATTACATTGAAACATTCAACTGATTGATTATCTTCTTGAGAGTAATAGTCGAGCACAAAAACTGAAACTGCAATGGTATTATTGCAAAGGTATAGTAGCATTTGCAATCCACACAACCGTTACTATAATTTGTCTTAATTACTTCAAATTGCTAACAACTTTTGGTGATAAAAACAACTTAAAAAATTGAATCAATTTAATATACATATTTTTTCGTTGAATTACTGCTATTTTTGCTGAAGATTCTCTTCAACACTATCACTGCACTATTGTATGCATTTTACTATGTCAAGTATTCTTATTATCATCTAATTATCAACAGTGTTGCACACTATCATTACTATCACAATAACTGTTTTTTTTAATATTATTACTTGCTCATTACAGCAATTATATATTATATATATTTTTTATCAAAAAAATATGATAATAATAATGATCATTACAGCAATTATATATTACATATATTTATTATTATTTTTATCATTATTATCATATTTTGTTAATGTCAGTGTTATTGTTGTAATTGCTGTTGCTGTGTGTAAAAGTATTATTACTTTGTTGTAAGTACTATTTTTGCCCCATTATCAATTGTATGAGTTAAAAAAAGAACTCACTCAAAAAAGTATCAATAAAACCATCTGTCAATTAAAAATGAAATTGCGAATCTCTGAGAATAATTGCAATTATCGTAACTTTTTGAACAAAACAAAAAATTTACGCAAAATTTTTTGGTTAAATTAACACAATTTATTCTTTTGTAAATAAAAATAAGATAAAAATAAAATGACTTACAATCAAAAAATACTCTGACATTTTTTTGTAGCAAATCTCATCTTTCTTCTTTTTTTTGAAATTTATTCTTTGCATTAATAAATTTTCAAACAATTTTTCATTTTGATGTAACATTTATTTCGTTTTATATCTGTTTTATGTTTTATTATTATCTTCTCAAATAGATCAAACAGATCATAACAATTATGAACGGAAGAAGTAGTAATGAGAACTTCTGATGAAAATTTGTTACACAGCTGGCAGTTTGTGTTCCAACAATTTTGGCTCTCAATTCGTTTCCTTTTATCAAATGTTTGCTAAACTTTCATTTAGTTGAATGTTTTACATATTAAGAATATGTTTTTAATTGAATGTGAAAAATAGAAGAAAGACGCAAATTGATTCTAACTAAAATATTTGAAATAAGTTATAAGAGCTGATTGTGATTCATAAATTGCATTAAATAATCAGATGGGAAGATAAAAATATCTTCCAGTTAAACTGAATAGTGTGCATCTGAAATACAAAAATCATACTTTCAAAATGTCTTATGGATTATATTCAGTTTCTTGCATTTTCCCACTTAAATAAATTTCTAAAAATCTGCATAATGAACTTGACTGCGCACTAATTGAAACACATATATAAACACTCAGTGATACAGGCTTAGACAAATTTTGGGCTGCAATGGATTCTGTAAGCAATTGTGAAAAATGCGAAGGTTATCCTTTTTCAAGATGTGAAATATCGTTAAAAATTGATTCAGTAAATGCTTATTCGCATACTTATTTAAGTATTGAAGACGAATTCCGTCAATAAGTCTTTTGAATTTATTCATTCTAGGTTTCGCCTGTCTGCTTGTTTGTTTGTAATTCAATTTTAAAATAGTTAATAAAAATTTAAAGAAGCATTCAACTGCGACAATAATGAGCACTTGTACATGACTGCAAAACGTCTTGCTGGAGCAATCCGGTCATTGAAACAACAAATTGTTAATGAAATGAATATGTGGCATGAAGTTAACGCTGCTAATCATGAACTTGAAGTTAATATACATTACTTTCAGAAAAAGTACGCAAGTTTAAGTTTTAACATGATTTATCACAATTTTGCAAAACAATTCTAACTCTGAAAATCATTTCTCAAAAGTTAAAATAAGCGTAAATTTTAGTATTTGTAATAAATCAAAAATAAAAAGCAGTTAATTATTGATAATAAATTTGATTCAAAATCAAAAGCTCTTCTGAACTAGTTGTGATCAGGTGTGAAACTGCTTTTGATACTAAATTAAATAATTACCACAATAATGTCTTTTTTTTATTTCAATGAAATAAGCATCGAAAATTACTAACAATTTGCAGACGATAAATTGATTCTATGCTTTCACAAAAAGCTGTTATGTAATTCAAGCAACTAATTTCTACACTTAACTAAAATCAATTTTGATATATTCACGTGATTATTACTGATTTTATGAGAAAAAATTTTTAGAATTGAAGCGCTAAACGTTTTATGCACTAATAATGAGGCTTATAACGCTGAAATTGAATTCCGTAAAAAGCGTTATTGTGAACAGTTGAAAAAAATCTCCAAACTTGTTTCCGAACAGGTATTTCTCGTGTAAAAAACGCATCACTTTTTGCATTACATTTGTAAATTTTAAATTACGAGAATTCAATAAATGAAATTGACTTTTTCAGAAGGAATTGTATTGGAATGAACCTTTTACACTTATAAATTAATACATTTCTTATGTAATAAAAGACAAACAAATACAAGTTGAACTGTCAATTTTTATTTTATTTTCACTGTGACGAAAGCAAAATTTAAAATTAAAAAGACAGAAAAGTACGATTTGTTAACGAACAGCGAAATGAATGGAAAGTACAACAAATAGCAAAGCAGAAATTGTAAAAATTTGTGAAACTTTTGTTTGCTTGCTATTTTCAAATATTTTATTGTTTAATGAGACTGATGTTGGAGAATTTTGATGCTGCCAATTGGGCAATAATTTTGGATGAAATGATTTTTGTAAATCGAGAATCGTTTGAAATTCTGAAGTCGACTGCTGTTGCTGAACGACGAGCACTACAAGTACCCCAAATTTGGCATATTAATATAATTAACGCATATTTCGATAATAATCACACAGTTAACAAAGTACTACTGATTAAATTTTCAGATCGAATAAACTATGAATTGATCTTTTATAGGTGATAAGTTCAGAAGAAGAAAATCATCGAGAAATAATGCAAAAACTTTTGACTAAACGAATTGATTTACGAAAGCAGCTTTATTCTGAAATGGATACATATGAATCATTACGAGCACAAATTAAACAAACTGAAGCCAACTTAATACAACTTCAGAAATCTATAGATGTTTATGATGCAGAATATTGGCAACTTGTTGATGCAAAACATAAGTCAATTAACCACTGTGTTTGATAAGAACTGAATATTAATTGATTAAAATTATCAGTCAGTTCGTAATCAAAATGTTGTTAATCATTCAGTTTGTTATGCCAAAGTCTACTTTTCCAAATAAACGATTAAACAAATACTAATCAAAAATTTTTTTATGAACTGATAATAAATCAACCAGCTGAGCAGGATTTTCCTGATCAATCACTTTACCAACAATTTATTCAATTTTATCTTCTGCTACTAAATACTGTCACATAATATTTGAAAAATGAAATTGCATCCATTTTTGCACCAAAAAATTAACAATATTTTGTCATTATTGCATAATTTCAGTTTACAATCGCAAATTTTCCAACTGCAAGAGCTTTCTCGTCATTCGCAGCGACGCCGAGATTTTTATATAACTTTAGCACAATCTGATGACGGCAGTAATGATGATGATAATAATAAAATCAGAAGAGATGATAATGAAGATGAGAAAAGTGCTGAAAAAGTAAGTCTAGCCAATGCACTAATTACAGTTTTGTAAACATTTTAGTGGAAAGCTTTATAGTCAGATAAAATACAGTCATTATTACTGCTATGATTAGTATTAATACTAAAGGCAAAATGAGCAAATATTTATTTATTATTTTTTAAAAATTTTAGATAACTTTACGTTTTGAAATCTCTAGATTATATATGACAAAGTTTCATTTTTAATTAGCTTTTATATTCAAATACTATTTTTACAACTGCTCAATAAAATTGAAAATTTAATTTGCAAAAAGTTCCAGATAAAACAAAGCGATTTTACACGTAGAAAAAGTGAATACCAAATGACACCGAAAAACTCTGCTGAAGGCAAAAAATCTTTAGTAACACCACACATCTTGCGTATCAATACAAAAGACACAGAAGATAAAGTTCCGGTACGATTAGATTAAATTGGTATTCAAACAATCACACTGAAACTTCGTGCATTACTTAGTCTATTTCCATCAATCACTGTTTCTCTTAAAATAAAGTTATCTTCTTCAAATAGTAAACTTTCTGTAGAGTTAATATTGAAAGCAAAAAGTTAATAAAGCAATTTTTTTTTATCGCAAAGTGTTTTACTCATAATAAGCCAGTTTTTAATTAAATGAAAACAGAAACATTGACTGGTTAATTTTAATTTAAAGTATTGATTAATTTGAAATTAAAAAATGTAATTACTGAAAAATCGAAAGTTCTAGTACTCAAATCTAGCCCGATTATAGATGCCTGAACGTGATAATAAAGTAGCTAAATCAACCTCACCATCAGATTCGTTTTCGTCAAATAAATCTTATTTCCTCACTGATTATCAACGGTCAATTCATTCCAAGTCACCGGTTCGTTATCAATATTATGAATTTGTTAATAACTTAAGTGATAGTGTGATTTTTTCTTCCTTCAAATTACATATGAGTTGAAATCGGATTAAGCATAAACTTTTTTTTGTTCGCAAATTTTGTGAATAAAATTATGAGTACACTTAAAAGTTTTCCGATGAATTTTTTAACTTTGATACAGTAACAATATAAGCACATGTTTGTTCTTAAGCAATTTATAGCAAATTTACTTTGTAAAAAGGTAACATTGATAGAAGCAAAAACTAATTTCAACTTTTCATAGACTTCGACGAAATTAAACGAAAAATCGAATGTAATTACTGGTGAAGATCATGCAAAATGTACAAAAGATTCGAGTTCATCCACATCTGTAGATTCATTTCAGTCTTTTCCGTCACAGTCACCACTAGTCAAACCAGTACGATTTAAAAGCTTTACACATTATTTTTGAGTTACTATTCTCAAAATTAGTCACTTTAAAATTGAAGGAGGAAAATTTTCAAATTTATTTGAAAAAATTGATAAAGTTGAGGTGAAAGACTTTTTTTCTTTCATTCAAAAAATAATTATCTTCAGAAATCAATGTCTCCAGTTGATGAATCAAAATTAAAGGCGGTCAAGTTTCAATCAAAATCTGCTGAAAGCCATAATTTATCCGAAAGTGTGGATGTCACTATGAGCAATAGCGACATCAGTATTCAAAGTTCAGAAGAAGTTATTGACATACCAAAAAGCAAAAAACAGCAAAAACCACAAAATTCTGACAGTACAGCATCAATTAACGCTGAATCAGATATAAACGTGAAACAAACAGAAAAAGACGTTGAAGTAACAAAACAAAATGAAGCAGAAAATAATGGCAAAGAAAAAGATCAAGAAACTGATTTACATACTAGTGAAATAGATATCTTAAGTAATCAGAAAAGCATGAAATTAAGATCACTCGCAGAAGACGACGATATGACGGATTTACGCTCGCAAAGCACGTATTCAGACACATCGCTACAAGAAAGTTCATCAGCATCCAGTAAATCAGACTTACCTCTGGAACAGGTGATCTCTTAAAAGTTATTATGCAATATGCAACTGTTTTTTAGGTCATTTATTACTTGACGTAATGCTGACATCATTCGATGAATAGAAAGTGATCTCGACTTATCGTAAACATTTTCAAGGTTTTTCTATAAGTATCGTGAATAATTTTGATTAATTATTATACTTATTATTTAATGAATACGAATCATTTGACTGATATCCATCTAAATGGGGCAGTTCATAGTTAACTGAAATAATAGATCATATTAACAAAAGGATGCTTTGATTAAAGAAATGACCAGTAAGTCGAAAAAAAATCTTTTATTCATGAAAGTTAACATTTGGTATGATGCTGCTTCAGAAGGACAGTGCCAAGATTAAGCAGGACAAACAGAGTAAACTTTTTGAGGAAGAGGTTAAAAAACAATTCGATAATAATTCCACAAAAAATGAATCTTTATCCAGGTCATTTAAAAAACCATCGCAGAGCTCTGAGGACAACTTGTATTTTTTGGAGGTATATCTGAAAATTTTGTATTGTAAACATGCAAGTTATATTACTCTTAGTAAAAAATTCAAAAATATTTTTGAGCTTAAAACAAATGATCTTAATTTAACTTGATTAAAATGAATTCCATTCATATTTATTCAAGTAAATTTTACGTGTCAAATATATTCACTTAATTGGTTGGGATTAAATAATTTTTATGTATAATACTTGATCCAAACTGAGATAAAGTATAAAATAGGTTATAACATTTTCCATTTTATGAGCGAAAATTTTTTATAGAACTCAAAAATTTGAGTTCTAAATATGAAAATAGAACTCAAATTTTTGAGTTCTATTTTCATATTTAGTCATATAAACTGTATGCAGCCAGCAGCAATTATTGAAGATGTGAAAGTTCAAAATAAATTGAACATGAAGTTTTCTACTGCAAGCCATATGGTGATAATACTTTCCCCTTATAATGAAAGCAATTTGTGTAGTAATCATACTTTAGAATACTTTAAATTTTGTTTTTATAAAATAATTACAAAATTGCTTTTTATTTAATAGCATTTTTTAGCCATATAACTTGCCAGAAACTAAAAAATTCGAATTGTATAAAAAAAACTTCAACTTACCCGAAGCACGAATAATCAGAAAATCAACACAAACCTTGAAAAAGAAACCAAATTTGCCATCGTCATTTAGCAAAGTAAGCTAACTCAAACTTTTATGCTAAGATATCTTTATTTCTTAAATGTTGTCGTTTGAATCCTAGAATGAATAATTTAGCGTCTTTCCACCATGAACACAGTCTATGAAATTTTCATATCGCTAAATTTTTTTCTAATTTTTTTAAAAGTTTTCTGAAATTTTTATAGAAACTAAGCATTTATCCACATTATTTAGATATAAATGGGTTTTTGGCAAGCATTATTCATTAATTGATCAAAATCTTCAGGTATCTCCAGCCATCACAAGTAGTTCTTCTGATCAACAGTCTCAAAATCAACAATCGCTTCATGCATCAGGAACACATAGTGAATCTAAAGTAATATCAAACGAACTTTGCGTTTATTTTTACACAAAAAAATTTGATTGAAAAATATGCCAAAACAATTGATGGATTAATTTTGAATTGTCATAATAAAATGGCTACTACTTAAAAAAGAGGTATATTCATATTCTAAATTCCAACCTCTGCTTAATATGAATAATTAGCTTCAATCATTGTATAATATAAACAACAAATAATGACAAATGTTTACTTTATTGGCACTTTCACAATTGTTTTCTTCACTTAAAATAATTCGTATATTTATTACATACACAAACGTGTTTTTTGTTTACAAACAAACTAATAATTTTGACTATGTTGATGAAAAACTTTTTAGCCGGGTGAAAAAGTTCTTAATGCAGATCCGATGGTCAAAAGTCAAGGTTTACTTCAATTTTTAAGCAAAAAATGAATTAATGTTAGGTATATACGTTATGCAAATATTATTAACAGAATTAGATATTAATTTAGCCAAGTCAAAGCAGCAGCAAGAGCTATCAAAACGCCAACAAAAAGGTGATTATTCTCATGCTAAGCAAGGTTTTGACTATTTATAAAATGACTAATTTTATATTTTTAACATTTATTCTAATTTGGTTGGACCAAAAGAATATTATGCCTCAAGAAATTGTAATAATTTTTACAAATAGCTGTTTTGATGAGACTTTTTCGGTTAAGACATGTATAAATATTTAAGATGAGAATTTTTAAAGCAGAGTATTGGCCACTGTAGAGAATTATACACTTGATGTCATATATTTGTAATGTTCAAGATTCAACGCGAAAAAAAGATGGAGACGAGAGTACCTCACTTAATACAAGTAGCAGTAGCTGTACTGCTACTGATGACAGCAGTAAAACAAATCTTACTTCGAGTGACAGTGACACTTCTGAAGAACTGCGTAAACCTGGTAACTTTTCTATCAAATTACAGCTGAAATGTAAACAGAAATTCTTGCACAACAACCAATTAACCAATTCTTCACCAAAAATGCTGCATTCTATTTTATTACAAAGTGCATTTTTTCAATGAATTTGTTAGTCGTTTAATTTATTTTCAAAATGGCATTTGCATATTTGTTTTCAACTATTCCCGTGAGTAAACTTTGAAAGGCAGATAAACAGATTCTGTATTAAAGAACTGACAGTGAATAAGTTGCAGTCAAGAAGCATCACTCTGACAATTCTTCAGTTCCTGGAAAAACAAATGTTGAATTATGGGAAGAAATCTCTGAAAATACATTCCGACGACATATTAATCAACAATCACGAAAATAAAAGAAGGCAAATTCTTTCAAAATAAAATTTAAATGTTCATTTTAAATTTGAAATAAAAATAATTTAGAAAAAAATCATTCATTGAGATTCAAATTGACCTGTTGTGTCAGAGATGTGATAAAGGTTAACAACACATTACACAGTTTATTGAGTTAGAAACATGCTGAAAAAGTAAAAAATTAATTTAAAATATCACTGACAAAGTTAATAAATAATTTGAAGCAAAAATAGTTGTTAATAATTTCACGAAACTTTGATTTTATGAAAATTAAAAAAATAAATAGTTAAATATATGCGTTTTGTATGCGTATAATATGTTGTTTCCTTTCATTTACATATATATATGCCTTCCATATACCTTCCAAGTATGATTATTACAAAAATATTTGCATAAGACGTATGCATGGCTAGTTTGCAGTCCATAATTGTTGACGTTTGCATAATCATTGGTAATGACCCAAATTTATGCAATATTTCTAGTAGCTCAAGTTAAAAGTTGCTCGCTTATGTTTTTATAAAAATTGAATTTCAGTTGAAGTAATCAAAGAAGAAAAGTGATACTTTCCACGCCAGTGAGTCCGTTATAGATTCTGTTTCATTTTTCATGCAAGCACTATGTTTTGATGCTTGCATGGGTGCTTTGAAAAATAACAGAGCTTCATCCATTACTGTTTTTGCTTTTTCTTTCCCTGACTTTGAAATTTATAAAATAAAAGGTTTGCATCTATTTGGTAATTAATTAATTATTGTATTTCTAATTTTTTTAGCTCGTAACTAACACTCTATATATTCAGTTTCATAAGCTGGAGCAGCATGTTGTTGATATATAAATTTGTTGAAGAATATCTACATTTATTGAAATTGTGAGTGATAATGTGGTCAGAAACTGAATGTTTTTTACCGTGATACAATACGATAGAGAACCGGATTGTCAACTGACCTAATGGAAGTAACCATAATAGTGATTAACTGCTATAAAATCTTGGAAAAAAACCGAATTTGCCCTGCTTATCGATAGCAGTAAATATTGGGAAAAAAAACCGTTTATAAGTGGTGTAATAAGTATATTCTGGTGCACATCTATACGGTAGATTTCTCGAATTCTCAAAAAATTTTACTTGTCAAAAACGATCTTTAATAGTTCTGTTAATGGAATTATTTTCAGTGGATAATTTTCTGCTCCTAAAAGTTAAGTCTGAGCAAATCACGAAATGCTTCAGAGAAATGAGTCTGATGGCATGTATGAAAAATAGATGCTCCTAAACAAATGCTTCAATTTGAATTCATTTATTAAAAGCTGTGCTTTTGTTACTTGAAGCATTTCCGCATTCTATCTGGATCTTGATCTTACTCGGTAGGACTATTTTTCGGTTTCCGAGCAGAAATCAGTGATGATATGTAGTTGTAGAAGTCACTACTTTTAATAATTCTTTAACAAGATATGAATAATAATTAGCATAAGAGTAAGTCAGTGTGAAGTGACTTCAGAGATCTATGATAAGACCTTCTTTGACCATTTAAATCATATATATACACCTTTTTTTTGGTCGCAAGGCAATAAATGTAACAGTTACTTCAAAACAATAAATTCATGTAAAATTTTATTTTACCATTTTATTCATTTCTAATTAAAAATTAAAATTTAAAATCCCTAAAATAATTATTTTACTTGGGATGTTAATTAAAAGCATTTAACTCTTTAACAGCTCCCATCCATCACCATTCACTCATAACAGTTCAAAATGTTAATCCAAAACTTGACCTGACCAACTATGATCCAAAATTTCTGCAAATTACTGTAGTATGTGATGTAGTAGCCTTCGAACACGTTACTATTGGTAATGCTTGTAAAAAACAGTACAAAATCTTTAAGCAAACAAAAAAAGAAAGTGATGAGAGTAAAAGACCATTAATAGTTCCACGCTAGGCTACTGAAATAATAACCTCTATACTCGATTTTTGACCTTCACAACAAATGTGACAGTGATCTTCGGCTTCAAACACAAGGCATAATGATCTACGATCTCACGAGGAAAGCGATAGTGATCTCTGTACTGGACCTCCAATCTCACATTAAAAAGGATAATGAGATTCAGTCAGACAACACAGGGTATGATAACCTCCCACTTCACAACAAAAGAAATGTTGATTTCTGTACTTGAAGTGTGATCTCTGTGGTTTGATTATTATGGTTGATCTATCGACATTACGCACAAACATCAGACGCTGCTCTTGCACAGTTCCGAGTGATTAATGAAGCCATCATTTGGAATTAAAGAAATTCTTTGCAAAAGATTTCTCTTCATTTTCATCAGCTCTTTTGCTCTGCATTTCAAATTCAGCTACTTCACCCAATGTAATACTGTATTTTTTGCTTTGCTCACATCCTTCTAATCAACTCATTGCTTTGCTCCTTCTAAAAATTCTGTTTCCAATTTCAGTTCTGAATTTCTTTGTCCTCTCTAACTTTAAACATTCTGTTTGTTTTGATTGTTCTATAATTAAAACAAAGAAAAAATAACGGAATGTACTGCAGTCGTGATTACAGTATTCCGCTAGAATATTTTGTAGCAATAAAATTTGTTTTTGTAATAAACGTCAATCAAAGTTGGAGAATAGATTGTTTCTTGCAGTAATAATAGATTCATTCAAACGGTTTACTGTTAATTTTGACTAATAACCAAAAGCGTAGAAAGCACAAACAATCTTTCTAGTATTCAGAAAAAGCTAGCTAAAATGAGCAACAACCAAATATACATTTTACAGTAATTATTACTTATTGACGTGTTAAAAAAAGAGCACTCAAGTATAATTGAACGTCATTTTGACGATCTTCCTGAATTTCTTATTTCTTATCAATATCTATTTTTATAAAGTTCCTTCTTATATTCTAGATTAAGTCTTTTAAATTTAAGAAGACAATCATTTTTAGACGTATTCTATCAATGTCACAGGAGAAGATGAAAAAATGTTTGCATAAATGTTCATTTTCAATATTCTTTTCTCTAATCCACAGCCAATTTATCCTAGCAGAAATTTAATACGTGCTTTAATCTTATAAGCTTAAAACTTGCATTTCATAAATTAGTCTTATTTTTTGCACTTATTTTAATCATCGGAATATTTAGCCTTGAATCCATTTTTTTGTGATTGCGTGATTTGTTGTGTTTTTGTTGTACTTCGAGGACCAGCTCGAGATCCACTTCCGCTGATATTTTCACTAGATTTTGGACAACAAAAACCAAAAGTTAACAGAAATTCACGCCTAAACAAATCCATTCAATACTTTTTATGATAAATTTTTTCAATTTTTTAATCATTTTTTCTTGTAAATAAAAATTAGTTCACAAAATGACGTTAATTTGTATTGTACGTTTATATTCATTCTCTTTAATCAATTTCTAACAATATGTTAAGTTTCGAACAGATAACTTCGCAACTTTTTTGGTACATTCAAATACTTTTTGCATTGTCTTGAAACATGCAATAAATTTCCCCTCTGATCTCACGTAGTTGTTTAAAAAAAAAAGAATATAACTCTTTGAGTTATCAACAAACTCACCTGAATACGTGACTCATTAAGGCACACAGAATAAAATTAAAGCTGCTGTTAATTAATGATAAAACATCGATAAAATCACCAAGATACTGCATTGCGTATCGAACGCCAGGTTTTAAGCCTGAAATTGCAAACAAAACTAGTCCTACTTTGCTTAAAAATTACCAAATTTGAGTACTATTCAAAATATCGGAAAAAGTATAGCAAAAACAGATGCTTTAAAAACTGTAGAAAAAATTATGCGTCGTTCATTTTACTGTATTTATTTAATAACAGATGGTGCTATATGATAGTTACTACTTAATAATCATAATAAGCCATTTATCTAATAATGGCACCACAAATAAAATAAAGTTGTATTACCGATGGCAAAAACGAGAATGCCCTGTGGTAGTTCTGTAACGAGGAAAACAGCCACAATAGCCGTAAGCATTGTGGTTGTACGTTCAGCTTGAGATTTACCACCTGTCTGTCCACGACATAAACGTGTACGTCGTTCACGTGCTTCAATTAACATCCGTACCAATAATGTCATAAATACAGTCAACATCACACATGGTATAAGCTTCAGCACTAGGCCTAAAAGTGTTTTTTACTCACTAAAGAATTTATTTGGTGAGAAATAATTTATCCAAATACTAAATCCTTCCAAATTTACTTTTTTTTCGACAAGAAATTTAGTTTTTATAATTCGACGTTTCACTCAGATGTAATCACATTTCAATCGCCGAAGACTTCCGATGATTAGTTAAGGATTCGAAACTACACCTCAAATATTTGATTCTGCAGCCTACCCTTAGAATTAATGAAAAATCTTAGTTTCTATTTCAGAATTATCTCTTCTCAGAAGTAATATTTAGAGCTAAAGAAAAAATAATTGAACAGTAAATTAAGTAAGATAAGACTAAAAAATGAATGCTATGTTAAATTTTTGACACTTTTGTTCACATCTTATACATTCCTTTATTGATTATTTGATTTCTTATTTGTAATAAGTTAATTAAAGCAAAACTAATGATAATACTTAACTGCGATGTCTAAAGGATGCAAACATATTTGATTAAACTCTATCTAACTTAAGAATTGATTTTCTCATCTCTTTATAAATATTTGAATTAATACTCAATCAAATTTTGATATTCAGATCAACTTCTGAAATCACATTATATTATATTTATAATCAAAATATACAACTTAAATTTCGATCACAGCACTAAGCTTTAATGCTCAGTTTAACTTTTTACTTACCATTAAACATTACGTTTAAAAAATTAATTTTTTCTGATCCATAAATATCATTTTTTCTCGGTGCTTCAAGTGCATTGCTTATATTTTTCTGATGCCGTGAAAACCTTACATAGAATTGAATTACATTTTTTTTTTAAAAAGAACTACCAGCTGCCCAGAAATTAAATCTTTCCCAACGACAACTCCACCAGGATGGCCGTGCAATGTTATACGCATGAACTTTTGGATTGTCAGCATAATAATGAGCATAAGCGGAATGATTTGTTGTACAGTATGTTGGTACATCCAAATAACCGCTATCTCGAATCTACAATCCATCGTTTTGCATAATAATTTATTATTATTCACACATTGAAATACTATAATACAAATTTTTGCAACTTTTATTGACTTTTGAACTATGCTAAGAAATTAGTGCAAATTTTAGCGTATTTTGAAAAGTGTATGTATTTATATATAATTATATATTTTGAAAAATCAAAAGATTCAAGTTATCCATGTTATGGATTCAGAGCCACATTGAAACTAAGAAAATTCAGGATTTTTGAGCTGATTTCAATTAAAAGTAATGAGCAAAATTTTATTTTTGTTTTATATGCGATACAAAGAAACGGTAATGCACGGATTACCATATTATTTTCATAATTATATGAATTGACATGCGCGAAAATGGGTGAGACGACGTGTGAAATTGCAACATGAACGTGGATTTCTTGTTGATTTACGTACTGAGGAACTAAGGGAATATGAATGATTATTACCTGATATCTAAGCATATTAGGTAAAGAGCCAAAAAGTGAAATGATAATCGCAGCAATGACAGCAATGAAGGCGGCTTTGAAAGTATTAACATTTGGTAATTTTGATGTCGATGTTGCACTTCGTTTTAGCACTAAATACCGTAAAACTGCCATATTTACGGTAAGCCAAAGAGAGGATGAATGGATAAAAACGGATGAAATAGCGTAAAAATAAGTAAATACTATCCAGAAGTACGTGAAGTACCATGGATGACACAATTCGACCTGAAATAAAGCCTAACGAATGGTTCACATTGAAGTAAAATAACAAATGAATGCAAAAGGAATTTTGTAAAACTGAATTCTGAATTTTCATTAAAATTAAAATTTTTTTCATATTGTTTTCGCTAGTTGTTGAATGATAAGTAATTATTTACCCTTACTAAAAAGCAAAAATTGCTCCGTTCTTTAATTCAAAATTGTTTAGGAAGTTGAATTATCTTACTTTTCAACTTTGAATTTGAATTCTTATTTACTTCTATTTGTAAATAAGTGCAGTGAAGATTAAAAACTTTAATAGCTTTAGCCAGACTATATCTTCAGATTATTCATTTGTAGTAAAAATAAAAAACTTCATAAGATTTGAAACTGCAAAGCTTCAATTACTTAGACTAAAGATTTGATTTACTATTAAAAAGTGTTTTTTTGCACCATTAAAAATGATTTGAACACGCATTTCAATTGTAATGATGACGCAAATGATAATTGTTATAATTTATACAACTGAGATTGTTGTTGTTATCATCACGTTTCTTATCCGTCTGATTATTTTATTACAGTAAAATTAAATGAATTTATTTAAAATGATGATTTGCTTTGTTATATATACGCACTTTTACACGTATAAACAACTTTTATGAGTTTTTTTCGAAGAATCAGCAAAATTGTATTTGAATTTCAAATCATAAAATTTTGCTTATGTTTTGCCTTAAAATATTGCCTGAAATTGCACTTTTGCTGATTGCCAAAAATAATTTTTTGTACAACGATCATAGGAAAAAAAGTTGCTTTGCATAAATTAAAATAAATTAATGAAGAAATCAGAAAAAAGTTGAAATAAAATATTTATGCTAAATTATTCTATTAGAAAAATTCAATTCATATTTTTATAATTTTATTACAATTTAATTAGATTAACTTTTGTGCATACATTTTACTTTTCTGAAGCATTTTTATTCATATCAATAAAAATTAATAAATGTTTGACTTTTTTTAACACCAAACTTGCCATTTTTCCTTACAAGCCTTCATTATCGTAAGACGAATAAATCAACGATGAAAAACTAATAAAAATCAAATAATTATTTTGCGTTGTAGGAAATGCAGTCAAAGGCCAGTATTTCTAAAGTTTTTGACATTATATGTCAGTCTCAAACAACCAAATGTAAATTTGGTGATAAATCTAGGGGCATTTAGTAATGAGAGTACACGTAAATTATACTTGGCTAATTTAGAATGCAGCGCTAAGAATCTTCGCTAAAAAAGTTAAAGGAAATTTATGGTTTATCAAATACTAAGCAGAGTTTAATTGTTAATGTCGTGCTTAGTGTGCTTGATGGGAAGGAATTAAATTGCTTACATTCATTTGAATTTAAATTTATTTGTGTTCTCAATAACTATGGTAATTATCAGCACTGCCATCATTATTTTTGTCGCTATATCATTATGGTCACCGTAATTCAACAATAATCAGCGGTTACACCATTGAATTAAACATTTTATTATTGTTATTTTATTGTATTATTATTTATAATTATAATTACCTGTTTAAAAATAAAATACGAAGCCATCAGAGTCATGTCGCACAATGCAATCGCAATCAAAAACGTGTTAAAATGGTTCTTGCGCATCGTCGGTCTCAGTAACACCACAACAATAGAGAGATTCGCAAATACACCAGTAATGCATAGAATTTGATAAAGAAGTAAATGTATCGGTAGATAAGCGCTTGCTAATGGGGTCAGAAGCTAAAACATATTCACTTGCACTTCGAACCCAAAATGTTTCAATACCTTTTCAGGTTAAATTAGAGAAGAAAATACATTTTTTCATTCATTATGTTTAATTAATTGCCTGAAATGGAATCATAATTTGTTCTTCTGGAACAATAATTGCTTAAAATAACAAGCATTTGATCTTTTGCATTTGAAATATTTGAAAATTAAAATATATAACTTTACACTGCTGCGTATTTAATTAATTTCAATGAGAATTTACACAAATAATATCGAATTTCGTCAACTTTTGATTTATTGCCTTACTGTGTACTATAATATTTTAAACTTAACATATTAATTAGTGATTGAGTCATTAATTAATAGGACTTGAAAATAATTCATAAAGATGCATCTGAAACTTAGTAACAACTTTAGAACTATTATCAACATTATTATTAAATAATGAGACATGAAATTGAAGAAAGTTCAGCACAACGTATTTTCAGCTCTATTTTCAGCTCAGACTAAACTACAAAAAATTAAATTATTCCATTTCTTTACATGGTATCACCAATTGTATTATTATCCATTCAAATAGGAAGTGCAAAATATTAAATTCTAATGCATTCAGAAGTTGGAAAGGTCAAGGTCAGTTTGCAAGTTTTGAAGCTCATTTCTTACTTTCTGTGAATAAGAAGAGTAGCACCTGAAATTGTAGTTATCAACCCCCATATTGTCATAAAAAACACTGAAACACTGAAACACTGAAAATGTTAGCATGTGTTTTCTTCCTGATGAATAATCAGTCCTTTGCACCAGTATACATACTAACCTCTCGAAGCAAGAGTGAGTGCTTGAAATTTTTTGTGTTTTTGAATTAATTGAATGAGAAAAAGATCAATTATGAGGTACGTTTGTGCACCACTCTGCCTTCACCGAACTACCGAAAATGATACCATTGTTTTTCATTGCTTGCGTATTGGATGAAATTATTGTGCAAAGAGTAGTTTTTAAAAATGCTAAAAGTACTTAAATATATCACAATTTGAATGAATATTCAATCTATTATCAATAATGCAAGCAACGAAAAATTCAAGAATTGGTAAATTACATGTAGACTCAAAATCCTCGCATCAGTCAGCGCAAAAAGATTTTGTATTATAAATTATTTTAAATTAAAATTTCTATCCATTTTCAACCAATCAATCATATCAAATCTATGTATTAATTCATAAAAGACTTTATTGGCTAGTTCAATTGTCGAGGCAAATTATGTTTGCTCTTCATGATGAATAATCAAATTTCATATATTTTATATTTTATATTCGAGTTTGAATTAATGAATAATTAAATGATTTTAAAGGAAGGATTTAGCATTCGCATATATTATGGTGAGTATGCATAAATAACATTGACAAATCCAAAAAAAAAAGATTTGTTATTTAGCATTCGACTTAAATATTTTTCAGTCAACATTTTCAGTTTTAAAAACACTTTAGCAAATTCACGCAAATTTTAAGAACTACCTTTTTATAGTCATTTTGTCAGAGAATCACAACGTAATTAACTATTACTGCAACAATTTTGTAAACTAGTCTATGAAAAAAGAAATAATATTAAGAACAAAGGATAATTGGCGAGGCAAAAAGCAAATAATATGTAAAAGACTGTGAGAAAATTAACAACAAAAGTAATATCTGTAGTAGCCAGTGACCAGAACAGAACTAAATTTTTATGCCGAATCAGTGTGAAATAAATTGCAAATGTTATCTGCATAAAATTTAGTAAACTTTTATTTAATCAGTTGGTAACTTTCGAAAACTTATTTTCTATCCACACAATACTAAAAGTTGTCTTTACTGTTAGAGCAAAACGTTCTGAAGAGTAGTAAGTGCTGTGATTTGCAGTGATTGTTTATTAAATATATTATAAAATCAGAATCTATCTGATGCAAAAGTAGCCAACTTTTTTTAAAAGTAAATACTGACTACTTCAATATTAACATACATTTACAGCCAATTTCTTCATTCCTTCACTTATTATTCCTTCTAAGAAATCACATTTTCGACATTTAAAGAAACTAACTTAGTGCCAACAAATTAGACAAATTTATGTGTGAAGTTCATTAAAACTCAAAAATGTCTTTGTAAAAAATGATTTTTATTGCATGAGCATTTTTTATTCATATTTTTCTAGCATTTAAATCCTGAAGTTGAAAAAAGCAAAATCGATTTTGCTTTATTTTCTAAAGTTCTCAAATTTCCATACAAAAAAGCGGAACTTGGTAATACGATGAATTTTCATCACATAATAATTTGCGAAAAATAAGTTGACAAAATCATTGCATCGTAAAGTGTGATTCTTTGAAGTCACAATATGCACGTGAGATTGCAATTAAAATCAGTGCTCTGTTGATTAATTAATCACAGTAATAGCTTTAGTGCTAAAATATAATTTAATCATATAATAGTTTCGGTTATCAGTGGTAAGGCTCAGAAGAAGCAATTAATTGATGTTACACTTTTAACAATAAAATTGATTAATTGAGTAATTTCGCTCATTTCGTTGCTGCATTGCTAAACAGGTTTTAAAATTTTACTTCAATAAAATTGAAATATATTTGATAAATCGATCGAAAGTAACAAGAAAACAAGACATAAATATAAAGAAGCGTATGTTTTCATGCTCAAATATTTGATCTCTCAAAAATTTGCATAATATTTTTTTCTATTTTATGCGTAATATAAAACTGAAGTGCATAAAATATTGTAAATGTATATTAAAAAAACTTTGAAATTAAATTTCCTCTCTCTAACATTTAAGTTGTTATAAGTTATATCTGAAATTGACTTCAATTTGCGAAAGATAATTTGATTTATGATTAAAATTGAAATTTGCTTCCTGAAATTTTAATTTGGCACTTGTCGAAGTATATCAGAAAACAAACATTTGGCTGATTTATATATTACATATCAGAGTGCTTCAATACTCTCCTGATAACAAATGTCGTTGATACTTTTTAAATATGAATCTGCTAAACATTAAATCCATTCAAAATAAAAGTAAGAAAAATTAATTTAAAACACTTTTTTTTTGCTAAAAATAAGCAGAAAAATAAAATTGAATGATACCAAAAAAAGTTTATACTTTTAGTTTTGCTTAAAGTAAAGCTTTTTTTGCTTTGCTGACTTTTCGATTCTGCCTGACTACTCATTGATATCAGTTTTGAAGATAACTTGAGAACAAACTTGAATCGTAGAATGTTGCACAAATATTTATGCTTTTTTGAACATTTCAATTAATTCATCATTTATTTCCATTTTTATACATAGAATAAAGCGTTTGGTTTTATAAATAAATATTCAGAAGACTGCAGAAGGTAAAAATAACTTTCTGCTTTATTTAGGTTTTTGATCTAAAGTCCCACTATTGCGTATTAGCTAGTTATCAGAATTCAAAGAAAAAAGAATTAAGAAAATAAATTATGCATTTCTTAGCATTCAAATATTCATAAAACAACTTATATATCCATTTTGAAAATAAAAACAAAAACAAAAAGCGAATAAAAAAGCAAATGTGAGCACTTATATGCATTCGACTTTTGTCAAAATTTTTGTAGCAAAATCCAAATTTATTCTCAATAATATTTTCAATAATTGATGAATTGTTGGCCTGAAATTAGTAAATTTGTTTGCTGTCATTTGATTAAACATGAAGAAGGATGAGTATGTATGGCTAGCTGCTTTATTGTAAGCAAATCTTAAGACTGTAAAATAGTTGCACAATTATCACTGAGCAAAGTAATTAATGAGTAGAAATTGACAAGTTTCAGACTAAAATTTTGGCTTCTCACATGAAAATTTTTTGAAATATTTTCATTAATTTTTGTAGAATTTTTTTTAGCAATTTTTGCAATACTTTTGCCATTTTCATTAATATTCTCATTAATGCTTTTTTTGACGGATACTGTTGCTAGCGAAAATGAATCTCAATCGATGTAGCTTTTTCAAATTAATTCTCTAGCATATTTTCTAGCAACGCTTTTGCTCTAACAAAAAATTGTAGAAATGCTTTTTCTTGAAAATAAATAAGTAAATAAATCAGTCTTTCGAATCAAATTTGTTTAATTACACAAGCAGTCATTAGTATAATAATTCAAGATTCTATTCAGCAGATTGAAAAAAAGAACAGAAAAATTTTCAAGTTTTTTTGATTAATAATTATCGAGGAACAGAATAGAAACAATATAGATATATTAAAAAAAATTAGATTCCTTTCTCCTTTTTCAGAAGACTTTAACAAAGCACACATATTGAAACGAAGAAATACAAAGATGCTTTTGTTAGCTTTTACGTGAAAGTATTATAACAGTGAAACATGCGAGTAATTACAGCAAGTAATTGTTTTCTCAAAGTAAAATAAGCCTGACTTTTAAGTCATTGCTATAATTAGTTTTCGTCTGAGAATTCTTGATATGAAAGCTAATTAAATTTCCTATCGAAGAGCTTGTTTTAATAATTTAGTTCAATTTTCAGTTTATTTTTTTAATTATATTTTAACTAAGATTTATTTATAAGCAAATTTCGGAACTACTATTTGCATATGTATTGATAAATGCTTGTCCCCACTTTTGAAACTTTAGTTAAAAACAAAATAGGAAAATAAATTAATGGAAAAATTGATGGAAGATAAACTTAATATTAGATATAATTTTATCATTAAGAAGTAAAGGTGCAAAAATTTCCATTGAATCTAACCAATTACGAAGGTTGTAAGAGTAGTTTGGAGAATTATTTGAGCAACAGATGAAAGAAACGTGAAAAAGTGATAAGGTATATTAAAAAGTATTACGTACGTCATGCGTAAATATCGTTTACGATTGGTAATTCATCGAAGAATACAAACATAAAAAATGAACTTCAATGATTTTAGATCAACTATTTAGAGCCCAAAAATTTATTCATTTTTTGTTTAGTAAATAAATGTAAAATTTCAAAAAATATTTATCGAATTGAAAAAGATTAATGAATAATAAGAAGAAGATTAGAAAAAATAATAAAGATAATCAATAATTAATTAATGCAATAATCAATAAGTTAATACTCAGCGCTATAACTCATTTTGTTATCAGAATGAGATTTTTCTCATATCTCATTCTATCAAGTAATTTATGAGATATTGCCCAGATCAGATCTATTTCTGCAGAATTTATTTGTTTTAGTCGAATCCATCTGTATCTTTGTCCCAAATATGAATAATAGCTAAAATTTTTATCAGAATTGCTTAGAAGTTAACACGAATATCTGTCATCATCGATAAGTTACCACGCATATTTCCTTCTGACACGACATTCCTTGCATTAAAAATAATGTTTTCTTATCCACTCGATTTCATTTCTTTTTTTGATCACGAGAATTCATGTGATATTCTTAATCAAATGTAAAAGATAAATATAATCAGATCAGAATCAACCAGTCAATCAATCAAATTATACCAACTTTTAATTATTTTATGATTCAAACAGTTTTGAATTATGACTAAATTACTATTGCTTTCATTCTTCACTTTGTTTTTTACTTCAAATACAAGTTTAGTTTTTGAATGAATTTCAAATTCATGCTTTCTCCTGGAAGTTTAATGAATCCAAATAAAAGCCAAACTAACTGATGCTATATGTTCCTTTACAGTTTGGTTTTCAATTTTTCAAGGTTAAAAACGTTACTACTATATAA